TCTGTTTTATTAATCGAACAAATTTTCGTTTCATGGCTTTTACTTAGTAAATTCAGCCTAAGCTAAAATGTTAACTTATGCAATCGACATTTGTTTTTAGATCATTTCGAACAACAAAAAAAAAAATTCATCCACAATTTTTTAAATCAATATTGAGTTTTGTGAGTGTAAGGTAGTGAAAATATTTACAGATTTCAGCTTGACTGTTTAAATAGTTGCGAATCTCACTTAAAATTCTAATCATGTATCATTGAATATCTTTTGTTTCTCCTTACCAAAATATTAAATATTATTATGGTTGGCTCAACCACCAATTTTCGTTTTCTTCTATTATTTATCGATCTAGGACATCGAATCAATTCAATTTGCCTTTCATTTGCAAAACATTTGGCAAGTCGACATGCAGAACATATATGACGAGTATTAATATTTATTTCACAAGTACAACTAAAATCACATGTAAAATATGTCTAGAAATATAAGCATATATAAAAGAACAAATATATGTATTAATTTTGAATAACTTGTCCTTTATGTGCATTTCTTTTAAAAAACATTTTACATGGAAAACATGTCGTAGCACCAAAAATTGAACATATAGCAGGAGCGCCACAAATTTTACATTAGTGAAAAGATATTTTAACCCTCTGTGAAACATTCATTGATCTAGGAGATAGTGAAATATTACCTTCTGTATTACTCTCACCCATTATAAAAGTCCAACTAGCACTCTTTTCAGCTGTAAACAATATATAATGAAATGGATATAACTAAAAAAAAGAGTGTAGAATATTAAATACGTAATTTCGATTTCAGCATATGAATGAAGTAAGAGTAGAACAGAAGAAAAAAAAGTTTCTTTGCTTTCAACCAAAAAAAAAGATATTAGAAAAAAATGTGAATATGTCGATCTGACCTACGAAAACGTTTGCGTTCCAGGAGATGCCATATTCCACATAGTATAAGAAAAAGAAGAATAGTATCCGGTGATCTTTTCTTTTGAAAGACTTGGTGATCGAGCTTTTTTTTTTATTCGTCTATTAAGGAACAATGCAGACTATTCATTTATTAGTTTCAATCATTTGACTTTTTGAATAAAATTTAATATTTCAAATCGGATATTACAATAGATTGTCATCGAAAAGTTTAACTATGGGTCTACGCACATAATTTTCTCATTCTTCATTCGAATATTAGCCAATGATTAAAAAAACTTCCTCATCAATGTAAAGCTTGCAAAACTTTAATTTGATTTTTCATGTAAAAACGAGTTTATTTGGACTAATCATTTTATTCTGATGATTTAAAAGGTGAGATTTATTAAAATACATAATTAAAAACCGAAGTTAGGTGGATGTTGAACGTTTCATTAGAAAATATTTGACTATTTTTCGCGTATGTAAATCCATTGGTAATGAATTATAGTCAAGATTTTATGGATGTTTTCTATGATTTGTGACTATAAAGCTATAAATAAATGTTAAAACACTCAAGAGTATTTTCTAAAGGTAAAAAACTTTAACTATTGTCTTTTCAGCACAAGATGGTCTTCCGTCATAATTTTGCTTTTTTTAGTGAATTAATCGAAACTCTCCATTCTTGTTTCATTTTGTAAAGTAAAGCTTATTCTCAAATACTATATATCTATTAAAATTATTTGATGCCTACAGGAAGCAGAGTTGTTTTCAGAAAGATAAGACTTTTTTCGGGGACTAAACATATTTGCAGACATATATCTGTACTTCAAAAATACTTAGAGATATATGAAAATATATACAAATGCATAGTAATGTAAAATACCATGCATGACTCCATTGAGTCACTTTTTTTTGACTTCCTAGTACAATAAGTAGACCGTACTACCAGTTTAGAAGGACTAACAAAATGTAAATATGGCATCATCACAATATTGTCAACAAAGGGTAGAAAGTTTGTATTAATTACTTATTACAAACAGTTAAGTGTAAAATAATGAAAATTATTAGAGAAAAGACCAATAACAGAAATGCTAATAGAGGGCAACATCAGAAACACCATCAATAAATATATCGACCCAACAATGGTACCTACAACAATGAAAAGAAAAATTATAGCACCCTCAACTCGATCATAACGGATAGTCAAGTTCTATCTTAAATTTAAAATTCAGTTTAGATTGCCGCGATTGCTTATTCAAATAGCTTATAAAAATGCAGTTTGTTTAGTTTGGTTCGGAAGTGCTTGAGGTACAAGCACGTAAGTACCATTACGACTAGAAATCTGCTACTGTCGTGGTAGTACTGCCATAAGCATCGCTGATATGTATTGGTAGCAGTCTCAATGCTCTGGACTATATATATCAAGAATACACAGTCCTAATAGAGTAGCAGCACTCTCAACAGTTCTTTCCACAACAAAAGAAGAGCTAGTGTTCTAGTTTCGCCTTTGAATATTTCACTAACGATTTGTATCTTATATAACACAGTACACGTAGCCAGTTTACTACTTGTCACTGGCCATCTAAAACAACAGACATGCTGATATTCTTACTTTGCCATTAGTTTCTATAGAAAAAATCGTTATTACTTTTTCCCTAGACTGAAAGGCTAGGGTCTAGAAACCGAAATTCACCTGTGTCTGTCTGTCTGTCGGTAACGCGGTCAAAATGGCCATTTTTTTGGCACATGTGACCAGTTTTTTGGCACAAGCGACCATTTTTTTGGCACAAGTGACCATTTTTTTGGCACAAACGGCCATTTTTTTACTAAAATTAACTAGGTAACTATGGTACAAATGAGCATGTAACTATGGCACAAACGGTCATTTTTTTGGTACAAACGACCACGTAACTATGGCACAGGTGACCATATAGCAACCATGGTACAAATGACCAAATAATAACTATGGTCAAAATCGCCATAGTGATCGTGGTAATAGTGATGATAGTAACACCATGATCAAAAAATCGACTTGGTAATTATAGTACAAATGATCATACAAATGATCATACGATAATAAAAATTTATTCTTGTTTCCTCGACTGAAAGGAGGGTCATACGAAATAAAATAGTTTGCTTGATTGTTTGTTTGTTTGCTTGATTGGGGTCAAAAAAACATACAAGTGGCGTCAGCTTATTTTAAGACTTTTGGCCATTTTGATCAAACTTTGCTATAGGTTATCGAAGGCCCTGAATCCGAATCCGAAACCCATTTTTTTGGCCGACATTTCATTGGTTAGGAACCGGCCAATCCGAAATGAGCTTTTTTGTTTTAAGACTTTTGGTCATTTTGATCAAACTTTGCTATAGGTTATGGAGGGCCCTGAATCCGAAGCCCATTTTTTTGGCCGACATTTCATTGGTCAGGAATCGGCCAATCAGAAATGAGCTTTTTTATTTTAAGACTTTTGGCCATTTTGATCAAACTTTGCTATAGGTTATCGAGGGCCCTGAATCCGAATCCGACGCCCATTTTTTTTGGCCGACATTTCATTTGTCAGGAATCGGCGAATCAGAAATGAGCGTTTTTATTTTAGGACTTTTGGCCATTTTGATCAAACTTTGCTACAGGTTATCGAGGGCCCTGAATCCGAATCCGAAGCTCATTTTTTTGGGCGAGATTTCATTGGTCAGGAATCGGCGAATCAGAAATGAGCGTTTTTATTTTAAGACTTTTGGCCATTTTGATGAAACTTTGGTATTCCCTCGACTGAAGGAAGGGTCATATGAAAAAAAAGAGTTTGCTTGCTTGCTTGCTTGTCATCAGGCCAAAAGAACATCAGGGTTAAAAGAACCTCGGGGTCAAAAAAATATACGCTTAAAGAAGTTTGCGCTTTGAGGCTTTCGACCAATCACGTTATTCAGCCCATAGTTTCAGCCAATGAGATGTTTGCGATATCGGGCTTTCGACCAATCAGATAAAGTTCTTTCCTCTAAACGTTGACAAAAGTAAATCGGGGTCGAAGAATCCGAATCTGAAGTCAGTTTTTCAAAATTTTGAATTCAAATTTTTGGGTGAAGGAAAGGATTTTTTGAGAAAATAACGATATTTTATAAAGGTTGACGATAAGAAATCGGGGTCGGAGAATTCGAATCTGAAGTCAGTTTCTAGAAATTTTGAATCGGGTTTTTAGGGTCAAGAAAAGGGTTTTTTGAGAAAATAACGATATTTTATAAAGGTTGACGAAAGTAAATCCAGGTCGGAGAACCCGAATCTCAAGTCAGCTGTTCAAAAACTCAAGTAGGTTTTTGTATGAGACAAATCATCCTTTTTTATCTGAATTATTGTCTAAGGAAAAAGTCAATTTTTTTAAAGCAAAAGGCATTTGAAAAAATGGAAACCCGAAATATGGACAATCCTTCTGCTTATTTGGAGTTTGTAATTGCTGTTTAGTTTCGGTAGCCTCTTCATAATTAGTATCGTTGTAGACATGAATCAGAGTGTGATCTAATGGATTGAGTGTTTCAGTAAGTCGTAGTGTGATGAACCAGTGTTTACAAACCATTGGCACTCAGTCTAATGTGTGCAACATTGTGGGATTCATGATTATTCATAGTGGTTTGTGAGTTAAGTGGCCTTTTTTGAGTGCACTCTGCTTAAGTCGAGAGAAGTAGCATTAAAAGAATCCTGTAAATGAAGTTACGGCCTGTAGGATAAATGCTGAATAACCAATGATTGTTTTATTGTATTCCAAGAATGCAACAAGGGACTATGAGCAAGGCCTGAGAGAAGTGTTGGCGAACTAGTGGTCGCTAAAATTGCGAACGTATTCTAATGTTGTTTAGCAAAAGATCTACATGAAACCTGCATTTATCAAGAATAATCAACTAAGATTCTTCAAACCAGAAGCCCTAATAAAATTTTACCGTATTGGCTAAACCATTGGGTTAAAGAGATTAGGAATAAATAACAGGAAACTGTTGGTCCGGAGCTGCTCATGTGGAGCGATGGTGTTATAAATCTAATATTCTAAGTAAGAGCAATCTGTCATTTAACAGGGTTTAAGTGAAAAGAACTATCTTATGGGAGAAGAAGATCAGAGGTTGCAGCAGCTAGTTGCGAGTAGCGCCCTAGAGGGGCGCCGATGAGCGACTAGCTGGTGCACTCGACAGTTGCATTTTGAAGGGCGTTAAATTAAAAAGATTAAACAAGAGAATGTGAAGGGGTTAGATCTGGTGAGTTTCAAAACGGACTCAAAGTGATAAAAAAGGAGAAATATTTTTGTATGCATCCTAAGACCAGTTTTTCTCGAAGAATAGAATATAGTGATAATGTATGGATGGAAAACATCATTAAAACAGTTAAATTCACTTCATCGAGAACGAACTTGAAAGGAAAAGAATTAGTTTTTCGGTTCGTATATTTTTTTGTGGATTTAGAATGTGCATTTGCTGAAGTAGATGATCAGCTAAAACAGTATATGTCTTTTTCGGTTTTGCATAAATGTATGAAAAAGAAGAGAATAATTGAAAATTGTATGTTTGTTTTCGTCTTATGAAAATATTTATCAATTAAGAGAGTCATTTGTAGTTACTATGGAATGGTTTTTGACTATTTATTAGTTAAATGTACGCGATAAGAGTGAATAAGCTATTGAATTTGGTCGTGTTTGATACTTATAAGAAAGGTTCTTTCGCGTTTTTAAATCTATCATCTGCGGAAATATATACATGGATAGGCGTGGGTCTAACGTTGAGACCTGGCATTAATTTGTCATATGCTATAATTACTATTATGAAAAGTGATACTTTTATCCTGGTATGTTTTCGGGAATTCTGATATGTGCAATGTCTAGCTACTGTTATTCAAAGAAAATAGTTTTGAAAAGGCATATGTGAATGATATCGTCGCTGTTGTATTACATGGACAATAAGAGACTGTCGTTCAAGTGCACTTATGTAAAAGGAGGACTTAGCCGTGGCTGGTACCCCAAAGGGGCGCTAATGAACTGTTAATCGTTAACATTGCAAGCATACTACAGACTGATCTCACTAAAGATCTTTGTATCGGTTAGGCATTTTGAAGAATAGTGCACTCAGATTTCCTTAATGAGAACCTCAAAGAATATTCTGGTTTCTCAGTTCTACAATCAAATTGCGGAAATGAGAAATAATTCATGAGAAAACTTTTGTTTGAAAATTCCTATCGATAATTCTAACGCTTTAGACTAACGAAGTTTTGAAATAGTAAATTCTGGACCAGGTGAATTTAAAATACAGAGGGATAGTGTTGTGAAAAGATGGGAGTAGACCTGGCAGCAATTAGTCACTCATCGGCGCCCCTCCGGGACGCCACTCGCGGCTAGCTGCTGCACTGGGTTATCTCCAGAAGTGCCGCTTCGAAGTGTTGGGATTCATTGAATAAAAGTCAATAGTCGAAGTCAAATGGGTCTGAATAAGGAATATCAGATACAAAAAGTTGAAAAAACTATGTCAAGTCAAGGATGAGAACCGGTTTTTATGTTTCGACAAAATAACTGAATCGTTCGTCAGAATAAAAGTATTACTGAAAGAATTTATATTCGCTGCATCGGTAGTGAACATGAATGAAATAAAAGAATGTTTCTTTTGGAATATGGTTTTTGTTTGTATTAATTCAAGTATCTGAATGTACATTGATATATTCAAATTACCTGTCTAGTCTTATCACTACTTTGAATAAAAGCTTGTTGTATATATCAGATTTCGATTAGAGATCAGATATAATATGTTTTATTTTCGGCTAGGGGTTCCACAGAACTTCTATTTTCCTAGAGAACTCTATAGTCAACAGCATTATCGAGGAATGTTCTAGAATGTGTACAAATTTCTAGTAGAATTTTCAAAAAGTACTCTGCGTTTTCGTATAATTTTTGTGAACTTCTATTGCTATATCGTCTGTGAAAAATTGAATATGATATCTTGTTCAGTCGAGGGCTAAGCGAGTCGAAGCGACGAGCGTTACTTGTTATTTAAACAATTTAATTTATAGAAATAGAAATAGAATAGATAATTCTCTTCTCTCTCATCATGGATAAATATTGATGAAATTAAAAAAAAATTCTAAATAGAAAATCTTCGTTAATCATTAAAATCAAATAATGAAAATTCTTATAAATAATTATTTTAATTAAAGATTGATCATTTTTTAAAAACAAGTTTATATATATATATATATAATCTATCGAAAAATCAATGATCGATTGTTTTTGAAATCGAATCAAAATAAATTTAATAAATTATAATAAAATATTTAAAAATTGATTGAAATTATTTGAATATATAATATTATTATTTATTTATTGTTTTTAATAAAGAAATGATGATGTACCTGATTGTTACAATCGAGTTCATTATATTCGAGATGCTTGTAAAGTATTATCTGATCTTTGGAAAACCGATAAAGATTTTGTAAGTTAATTAAAAATATTTATTTTGAAAAAAAAAACAAATGAAATTTATTTTTAGCTAAATAAGAGTATTGATAATGATGTTGCACGTTCTTATCGTTTACCATATGGAACAAGTGGAGCTTCATCGGTTTTAAAAATCAAACAATTGATGATTTAGTTCAAATACATGATTTTATTGATTCAAAAAGAAAAGAATGGCTTGAACAATTAAAAAAAAATTATTGAACAAGCCAGAGATAGACAAGTAATTATAGAACCTTGTCTTTTTTTTTATTTTTATTTTTATTTATAAAAGTCAACTATTCGTCAAACAATGACTGAACTTCGAGATAATTATGAAAAAGCTCGACAAAAATTAGAAGTAGCTGATGCCAATTGGAAAAAGTTCGTTTATTAATTTTATATAAAAACAAAAAAAGAAGAAATTCTTTTGATTTTTCTAAAGATTTCAAAGACGATCTGGTCGTTTAACATCACCAAATTTTGATGAACGTTTACGTGAATTAGAAGATATTCGTTGTGAATGTGAACAAGCTCGAACATTATCACGTAATATATATGCAGCTGAAACATATAAAGTTGCTAGTGAAGAACATTCAATAACAATTAAACTTTTTTATCAATATTTATATGAAGCAAATACATTTTATAATCATGTATCGAAATAT